CGTAAATTTGTTAATCATAATGTTTCCAATCACTTTTTACAAGCTCATAATGGTGACCCCAAGGGCATAGAGTTTATAGGTATTGATCAAATTAAATTACATTGGAGAGGAGGTAATAAAGAATATGTTCTGGGATTGGCAGAGATGAAGTGGATTTTTGAACTTGATACAATGTCACCACAAGGTCTTAATGTTGATTTTGAGATCAATAGATATATTTAAAGTTTTAGGATTTATTATATTACACTCATATATTTTTATTACTATACCATTTTATATTTATCAATTTGGATTTCTTTTATTCCTATATTTTTATATTATTTACTTAATTTTTTTATTCTCTATTATTCAGATTCCCAGTTTTGCCTTTATTATTTATATATCATCTGTATCTGCCTTTTAACGATTGTATTGTTTATATTTTTCTCTCATAAGAATTGTTTTTAGCAATTTTACTGCTTTGGACGTTTAAATATTAGGAGCAATATAATTGAAGGATGCTCCGTTTTCAATGACGTTTCCGACACGTCCCAATTTGTTCCCCGACCGGAAGTGAGGATAGACGTCGGGACGTGATGACGCAGGATGCGTCTCGACGTCGGACCCGGAAGTAAAGTGCCGCGAATGCGGCGAAAAAGGGCGCGAGAGAACAACATATAAAACAGCATGCCGTGGATCATGAGAATCACCTCGGATGAAGGCTTATTGCCGAAACGCGTCAGGTGCTCTGTGGACTTTTATTATTAAGGGACTTCCTTTGTTTATGTATAGTTTTTATTCCTTTTATAATAAAGTGTATTGTTACCCCTTGAACCTGCGTTTCCTGGTGGTGTATGGAACATAACTACAAGAAAGGACCCAGAGAAAGCCCAGAGAGAGTTTGTGATTCAAGGCATACAAGTTTGAGCCAGCTTTTGAAGTGGCTCTTTTTATGTGAGTGCGACCAGTAATAGAGTCTGTAATTGTTTATCATTACGTTATTACCCTATGTTTTTCTTTTATCTGTGTTTACTTTCAGATGGTAATCCAGTTTGGGTAATTGTACCGTAATTATCTTATTTGAGTGCTCTCACCATTTGTATTTTTATTTTCACTCTGTAAAATATACCTTCGGTACTCCAGATGTTTTAGAGTACACCACCCATGATGCTTTGCCAGCATCATGGGCGTAAGAGCATTATGGGGGATGCAATCCACAACATCTCGAGTGCTGAAGGTTGCCTAACCATGGTATAGCGCAGGGATAGGCAACCTTCGGCACTCCAGATGTTCTGCACTACATCCCCCATAATGCTCTTACACCCATAACGCTGGCAAAGCATCATGGAAGGTGCAGTCCAAAACATCTGGAGTGCCAAAGGTTGCCTATACCTGGTATAGCGTATAAAAGTTAAGTTCAGATGCATGGTTGGCCCCTAGTGCCTACATTTTGGGGACTTTCCAAACTATGGGTGCAGCGTGTATAATATATAAGGTGTGGTCAATAATACTGGCTAAGAACAATAACAGTTATAGTCCTCAGCAGATCCAGTGTCCATTTCAAGGGATTATTCTCTGATTTAGGGGTACACATCACACTTGGGTACAGAAAAGAAAAAGGAATGGGGGATCAAGTATTTGATACATATGCTTAAGACATTCAGGCATGCATTGCAGGGCACACAATATGTTATCTTTATGCTTTTAATTTCCTCTAGAAGACACCTGACTAACTCGTGTGGTATACAAATCTGTACGACGGTTATCTATGTGCTATTTCCCACAGATGCCTTATATGGGTATACATCTTACTATTTGAGGTCCAAGCCTGTCCCTGCATTGGGCTGCACTGTTATTGGTATTACTGATGTATCAAGGGGTATATAACAAAAACACATGCATAATTTTAAACCTATATACATTATCTAATTGTTTGTCCATGCAAAGTCTACGCTGTATTCACCCAATGGGATTTTATGCAGTAAGCAGCGGTGTTTGCCTTTAAGCGACCTCTCTCATAATTTTGTTTTTATGTGTCTAGTGAGGTATATTCTTTATGGAGAACTTGGGGTGTCTTGAATGTGTCTCTCTCTTTATGCCTGCCAAAGGCGGGATACTTTCCTCTGTATTTTCCCCACGTGGAAATGGGGTAATGCTACTTGTTCGTATTCAACATTTGTGGAGATCTTGACCAGCAATTCAGCTTTAGAGAGGATCGTTGTGTCTCTCCAATTCCTCACTAGGAGGGTAGCAGCAGCTGTCAAGGTTAAAAATATAAATTTATGAACTGGTTTAGGACAAGTTGTTGGCATAATAAGGAGTATGTAACCTGTGACGGAGGGTGGGAATTGTGTTTTGGTACTATCTTTAATTACTTCCGCCACCATTCCCCAAAACTGCGCACCAGTGGGCATGTCCACCAAATGTGTACAGTGTTCCCTACCTCCGTTTGGCATTTCCAGCATTTGTTTTCCCTTATTTGCCACTTTGTCTGGCGTTAAGTACCACCGATACAAAAGTTTCCTCGATATTTCAAGGTAAGCTGCATAGGAGGACATACCTTTAAACGCTAAAAACATCTGTTCCCATGTTTTTGGTGACAGTTCTTTTGCTATGTCTTTGTGCCACTCACTTTGAAACATCCATAATTGATTTGTGGGTGGTGTCATGCGTGCGGAGTAGCAGTATGATAGAATTTTCTTTTGTTTGAGTTTGCTTAAGAACAGATTTTCAAATTGGGTCAAGTGTGTGTGTTGGTCCTCTGTTTCTGTTTGGGATGACCCATCTTTCAATATTTGTTTTAATTGGTGGAACGAAAATTGGACCAAAGTTGGTAGGAGGAATTCTGTTTGTAAGGTTTGGAAGCTCTTAATAGTCCTTGCCGTGAGCACTTGATGTAAATGTGTTACCTTATGTTTAGCCCATTTTTTGAAGTCAAATGTTTTGGTTTAGAGTATGTATCGCTTTTAGCATGGTGACTAGAGACCATGGAACCCTGGAGCACACCTTATGTTTATTTGTGTCCCATAATGCAAGCAATAGTTTGGTCGTGGGCAATATCATGTTCGATGTGGGTCGAAGTCCTTTCGGTATCCATATGTAGTTTGCTAAATGCATGCCCTCTAATTTCTGCAATTCAATGTCTACCCATTGCTGTGTATATGTGCTAGCATGACTAGCAAGTACATTCGACAAGTGTATTGCTCTATAGTATTCTCTCAGGTTGGGGAAGCCTAGCCCTCCATCCTTAATCCTTAAGGTCAAGAGTCCTGTTATTCCACGCAAACTTCACCAGTGGTGAAGTGAGGTAGAGACCTTTTGGTAATATAACCATTTTAATCGCCACGCACCTTCCCACCCACGAGATGAATTATACTTCCCATTACTTGAGTGTTTCTTCTATATCTGTTTTGAGTTTGTGGTAGTTCATTTTAAATAGGAATCGTGGGGATTTTGTATGTCTTGTTTCTAAAAATGTAAGGTAGTCCTGTCTCCAATCAAAATTAAATGCTTGTTTAAGCCTTTCCAGGGTGTGATCTGCAATGCCTATTCCCATGGCCTGGGTTTTCGCTTGTAGTATGATTAAGTGCTGTACCATTTTAGTTCCTGGTGTAGGTTTGGCAGGGATATTAAAGGTTGCAATAGTGTTAAAAGGACGTCAACAGCGAACAAGTTTAGTTTGTTTTCCCTGTCTCCTATTTGTATGCCATGTATATTTGTTTTGCGTCTAATCGTTTCTGCTAGTGGTTCTAGTGCTAGAACATAGAGAAGTGGTGAAAGGGGGCACCTGTGTTTGGTGCCATTTGTTATTTGAAAAGGGTCTGATTGAGAGCCTGATGTCGTCACCACTGCTGAGGGGGAGCTATTTAGTGCCTTTATGGCCAACCTATATATTGGGGGACAGTAAAATTTGATGAGTATCACTTCTAGGAATTGCCAATTCAGTCTGTCAAATGCTTCTTAAGCATCGAAGGAGATAAACAGTCTTTGTTCCTGGTCCGTTTCAAGCTTGTGCAAGATGTCTATTACTTTCCTGGTGTTGTCTGGTCCTTGGTGTCCTTGTACAAAGCCCACTTGGTCATCCGATACTAGCATCGGCAAAATCGATTGGAGGACACAGGCTAGAATCTTAGAGTAGAGTTTGGTGTCCGAATTTAATAATGAGATAGGGCGAAAATTTTGACAGTGAATTGGGGTTTGCCAGGTATGGGGAGCGTAATGACCTGTGCCGTGAGGAATTTGGTTGGGAAGGTACCAGTTTGTATGGCATGATTAAAAGCAATGGCCAAATGGGGGGTCAGTAAGTGCTTGAATTTCATATTGTAGAGGTTCAGGGGCATTGCCTTTGGGTAGGTGTGTTATGCAGTCTAAGATTTCCTCTTCTGTTATGGTGGCCACTAATATCTTTTTTTGTGCATCAGTGAGTGATGGTAGGGGAATACCAGCTAGGTAAGTTTGGATGCACAAGGTGGTTGGGTTGCTCATGTCTGCACTATCCCAAAGATTATATAGTTGGCTATAGTATTGTGCAAATTTGTTGCATATATGTTCTGGGAGTAGATTTTGGTTTGGAGATCAAGGATCTGTTTGCGTGTGTCTAGGGAAGGGGAGGATTGGTTATCTTTATGTAGTTTAGCTAGTTGTAAATTCCATTGGTTTAGGTTATGTGACGCCCTTTTTTTAAGGTAAGATGCCCTAGATATTAGTGACCCTCTTATCACTGCTGTATGTGCTAGCCAAAGCATATGGGGGTTTTGTACCAAGGAGTGAATTGTTTCGAAGAACTGTGTCAGATCTCGATCTAGCAGAACTCTGCATTTTCTAGTAGACTTTCGTTTAGGCACCAAGGGTATCTATTTCTATATTCATAGTTATTTTTAAGTGTTAATGTGACAGACTTATGGTCTGGCCACTCTGTGGGGTCGATTGTGCATTCTAAACCAAGGGAAAGTGTGGAGTCGTGCATGATAAAGCCATCAATTCGCGAATAGGAGTTGTGTACTGTCAAGTGATTTATGAAATCATTTTTCTCCCAGGTGTAGCACCCTCCAGACATCATTAAGGCCATGGGATGCCATCAAGCATGCAAAGTCTTTGCATTGCCTTTTCAGCGAAGCATAGTTCGGGGTTTTAGGTGATCTGGTAATGTCCAAGGTGGGATCAAAAATGTGGTTAAAATCCCTGCATATTATGAGCACCCCCTTACTCAGTTTGTCCACCTTAGCTAATATACTATGCAAAAAATTCCTCTGGTTGGCATTTGGTGAGTATATGTTAACTATGGTAAAGTCTTGCTTATTGATGGTGCATTGCCATATAGCGTAACGTCCCCCTGGGTCAGTAGTTTGAGTGTGGTACACTACTGTTAGGTCTTTGCGTAATATGGAGACCCCTTCAGACATATGTTGCGTTGTGGGTTGCAATTGGTGCGGGTAGGATTCTAACACCACCGCTGGGTGGGTATGCGTGCGAAAATGTGTCTCCTGGAGGCACACGATATTGGCTTGCGTGGACTTGAGCCGTTTGAGGAGTGTGTGTCTTTTGTAGGGGATATTCAACCCCTGAGCATTATGGGAGTAAACTTTCAGACTGGATTACCGGGTGTAGGGTATAGCTTGTGTATGCCATGCCTTTGTAGGGCACGTACGTGTGGCCATTTGATAAAGATTGGTTGGGCATTGTATCTGTGAAGAGTGTGGTCTGTGCAAACGTAGGTTGTGTTATGAGTGGACCGCATGGACATAAACAACATTAAAAACAAACATGATAACAAATTTCAAAACGTTGTGGATCCTTACGGTCCTCTGTAATGTTTAAACTAACGTATGTTACTGCTAGCTTCATTGCTAGCCCTAGCTATGGGGTGGGGGGGTGAAAGTGGTCAGGTCGGGCTATCTGGTCGCCGAGCCCAATTATAGCTACCCTGCCTTAGGCTATGTGGTCAGTTACCTGGAATGTGATCGTGTCATGTTGGCATTAATTGTTGTAGAAGACATGGGCATTTGAACCCTTTAACCCACGTGAACTTTTCTGCAGGTGTTCCACCTAAATCCCATTAACCCGCTGGCTATATCGCAAGCAAATGTTGGTACGACCTTTATATAAGGTGGGGAGGGGGACGCGTTGTGGCTTCTAGGAGCTTTGGGTATCTGTCCCAAAATCAAAACTTAAGCATGTGGGTATCTCGCCACCAGCTTATATTCGAGTAAATGAGGGATATTGTGGCCTAAATGGAATCTATTTTGTTGCAACTGTGTTAGGGACAAACTTGCCCTCATCCTGTGCCATAGAAAGAGTAGTTTTTGCATGCCACATTTAAAGAAATGTAATGGTAGAATTTGTAATGGGTGTAACAGTTTGGGAAATATCATAGATTTTAAAAGTCATGCTCTGTCAGATATTAAGACAAGAAAATTAATACCATAGGATGGTAACAGTCAACCAATCCAAGGTCCTTTCCCAGCTCCGAGAGTAGTATGGTCTGTGACCAGCTCAATTCACTAAGTGGAATTTGGTCTATGTAAATATCATTAAGGCGTAGTTTCAGAGATGGAAGAAGTTGGATTTTTGGCTTTATATAGTATTCAGCACTAAGACCAACCACACCAAGAGTTTTCCTGTAGTTGGTCAAGGAAATACGTCAGATAGTTTTCATTCAGTGATCGGAGCATTAAGTAAATCTCTCTGAGTGTTGGATAAGTGAGAAAATGTGCTTTTTATTAACTTCTGAACACTTCCCTGAGGGTAATCATGATCCTATTTATAAAGATTAGAGTAATAAGTATGGACAATTTGTGTTATGTCAGGGGTAATAAGTGTCCATTAGTTTAAAAATAGAGGAATAAAAGGTTTAGGTGAAGTAAGAGACATAGGCAACTTGTTAGTTTTATTTCCCCATCAGTAAAATAAATACTAGTGTATTCAATATTAGTGTTAGCCTTTTCTAAATGAATCGTGCCAAGCGGTCTCCAGGGAAGGCGATTTGAAGAACACCACACATGAGTGGGAAAAGGCTGTGTGATTCTTATATTTAGAGGTTCACTCTTCTTGGCCTTGGCCACATAGAAAATAATATGGTCTCTCATGACTGTTTTAGAGGCTGTTCATAAATGCATGAGGCTATCAATGTATTGAATGCTGTCATTAGAGAGGCTGAACTTTAACATTTTTTTCCAGCCTGTCTAACAATTAAACTATGTAACTATTTAACTATGTAGCTGATAATTTATGTGGCATCCAGTGTCTCTTTAAAAGAATCTCAGGAGCAAACATACAAAGGAAAGTGTCAGTGTGGAGACCGAGTCAAGGGTAAACCCTGTGGCAGTCACAGTTCAATGGTATAGGGAGGTGGAGAAAATAAAGTAGTCAGTACATAAGGAGGGGGTGGGCCTAGACCATAAGTGCATATTGTGCAACTTTGTCATTATAAAGCCACCAAATGTCAGTGAGACTAAGCTGTTTTTGATGAGGTGGATTGGTAGTCTGGTGGTCCACAAGGAATAAGATGTCAGAGAACCTTATCTACTCACCAAGCTGTCCAAAACATTGCTAAAATCACCATCTAAGATTATATTGGAGGATGGAAAATAGCTAATTCATTCATAATGAACTATACTTTATCTACCTTTCTTAGCGATAATTTGGAAGGGGGTCTCTGGGGATAAGCCACTTCTCTGGCATTGGATCTATATGGGGCCAGTATACAGTGAAAGACCAATATCAAAATGAATGATTTTTACCACGAGTTTCCTATAAAATGGTAACATTGGGTTTAAACCTACAAAGATGTGATAGACCTAATTTATGTTATATTTGGGTTAAGCCCAGCAACATTCAATAGCAGGATAGTACATTATTTTGGTTTTGAGGAGGAATAGAATTCAGATTGAGGATCTAGGATGATGCAAATTTTAAAGAGCTCATGTCCCAGCAAATGGGAGTCTGAAAAATAATAGGAGCAAATATAATGTACAATTACATAGAGAGGATGGCAGGAACCAACTTTAATGGAACACCCAAACCCCTTAAAGAAGCACTATAGGGTCAGGAACACAAACATGTATTCCTAACCCTATAGGGTTAAAACCACCATCTAGCCACCCTGGTCCCCTCATGCCTCCCTAAATTTGTAAAATCTTACTTGATTTCAAGTCTGGAGCTGCTGGCTTTGTCACGGTTTCATTTAGACCTGCCCACTGCCTGCTGACATCAGCAAAGTGGTAGCCTGATCCAATCACAATGCTTCCCCATAGGATTGGCTGAGACTGACAAAGAGGCAGATCAGGGACAGAGCCAGCACAATTCAAACACAGCCCTGGCCAATCAGTATCTCCTCATAGAGATTAATTGAATCAATGCATCTCTATGAGGAAAGTTCAGTGTCTGCATGCAGAGGGAGGAGATACTGAATGTTTAGATGCATTTTAAGCAGCCATGACCCAGGAAGGATCTCTAACAGCCATCTGAGGAGTGACCAGTGGCGTTATCACTAGGCTGTAATGTTTACAGCAAAAAGCCTGAAGGTAATGATTCTACTCACCAGAACAAATTCAATAAGCTGTAGTTGTTCTGGTGACTATAGTGTCCCTTTAAGCACTTTTGCAAAGACTTCTCATTGAGTTGCACTGGGAATTCTGTGATTAGAGAGCCACAGAATGTGTAGGCTGGGTTAGAAGGGAAGGGTTTAAAAAGACTTCAGGCAAGAGATCTGCAAATTTATCAAGCTGTTTTTAGATATACTTCCAATGAAAAAAATCCATAATTGCATATTTTGCATACATAGTTTCATTGGGGTACAACTAGTATAGCTAGTATCTATTATAGTAGTGGATTGTCCCTTTAAATAATTTTTAAAAAGAGATGTTGAAAATACAAATAAATACAACAATAGGTTGTCCAACAACTCCATTGCTTGGCCACATAATTAACAGATAATAATTTAAGGAACAGAAGTAGATCTGGATGGCCTAACTCTAAGAATAGTTAAATCAGGAACCAGAGGTTATCAAGTTCTGAGAAGTGAAATGAGTAACTCTTCAGAAAATTCCCACTTCAGCTAATTTTCACCTTGTGTCTTCTGGAGTCCTAGAAGTAGGATTGATTTTTGTAGGTTATCTTTAGTTTTGCAGAACATTGTATAGCAAATCCCACTGCATATTGGAGAAAACCTTCGCTATGACTGATGCATAACAAATTTGAAAGAGAAGAATTGGGTCTTGATTTTTAAGGTCACGATTCCTCCTGTAGGTTTGCAAAATTGATACTTTGTCTTTGAACTTTGCCTGCAGAGGTCAGGACTTGAAGTTGGATTTTTGGAGGCTCTGAGGATAAAGGAAAAGGTTTTTTCACCAGTCTGTGAGCCCGTTCAGTAAGGAGTGGGTGTTTGGAGTCAAAATGCAAATGTAGAGTCAAAGAAAGCCAATATTGCAGAACAGTCAATAGATGCTTCGATTTGACTGACTCCAGTACTAAGATGGTGAAGGTTATTCCTCAGGTTACATTTTTTCCCAAGTCATCTTTTTTTTTGAAGAAGAAATATTTGTGTGGTTTATGTCTGCAGTTGAAATTGTATTTCTAAAATAGAATCTTCATGGTATTCTATTTCTGTTCCAGCTCATTTATATGAGCAGTGTTGGAAGAGACTATAGTGAGGACTTCAGAGATAGATTGTTATATTTTCTCCAGGTTCTTTAAATAACATCGTCAGAGTCAATGTATATGGACCTGGGTCAGAGAATATATGCATTGTGCCCTCCTAGGAAAAAATTAACATCTACTATATTCTGTAGAGCACCACAAGTAGTGTTATGTGGCACATGCAACCAGGTACACAAGTGTACAGTCAACAGCACCCACTAAAAGGTGCAATTCACTGTGTAACGAGAACCAGTCATACCCATTGTGATGTTAGCTCTTTTAAAAGAGCTTCAAATTCCATCTATACATTGTGCAAGCACTATTGCTAGCAAATATATAGGTTGGGGGTAAAACCTATTTAAAAGTAGGTTTTTCTCCCTTCTATCTCTTTGTTCCTCAGCAGACACTCAATGACAAGGAATTTAGAGACAGGGATAGCTGAATAGACAGCCTACATAGGTCCTTCTGCTCTCCACCCATACCTTATTGGTAACCTTGTAACTGGTGTTGCTAATGCTGGCTAGGGAGTACAGGAACAGAGAGTCATGATATCTCTCCATTCAGATGCCTACTTGTGGCAATGTAGCCAGAGTGTTGGTGTCATGGAGGAAGGTTGCCCTCAAAGTCAACAAAGAACTGAGTAGGAGCACGGGCAGACATGCAGTGATTCCTACACCCACCTCTGTAAGAAGATCATGGCGGATGGGCAGAGGGACAGGTAAGTGGTGACAGTTTCCCTTTAAATACGAATGAGCTGGAAATCCCACTACTTATCATGTTAATAATCTAAATACCAAAACAGTATATTGTATTCAGGGCTATGTGGGTGATCTGGACAAGTACAGCAAGACAAACTATGTAATATTTTGACCTTGGATCCATGGCTATTAGCACAAAACTACATCAAACTACATATTTAGTATTGTCCCTGGGTAGTGATGTTATCTGCATATAATGGAATGCAGCTTCAAATTGCTGCTTGCTGACCCAAG